GACAAACTCCCTGATGGCGGCCTCGTCCAGGGTGAGGCCTAGGGCTGAGAAGAGGGATAGTATCTGGCGTGTAATGTCCATTGTGATGTGTTGTGTTAGGCTGGTGTGAGTGCGTGTAGGTGTGTCCTGACTGTGGCGTGAAGCCACAGGTCCTAACACCCTATGCGACAACGGTGGACCTCCCCTGCCCGCGGCAGGGGGTCGGTTGAAGCTGTAAGAGATGTGTTCGTATATTCCTAGTGAATATAGGAACAACCGTCACCCTTGGGAAGGTCCAAGTGCAAATGGGATCGGGTCTTCCGGTTCCCGAGCTCAGGAGAGCTCGAGACGTACCGGGGCTACGCCGACCAGTTTCGTTAACACCGCTAGGTATCCACTGGTCCAATTTTGGGTCTCACGAATGAGTGCAGGCGCGTCGAGTCGACTCGAAGCAGGCAGCTGTGCGGCGGGGCGCACGGAGCAAGGAGGCGGCTGTGCGACGGGGCGCACGGTCCGCGGTCGGAGCGAGAATCGATGGCAAAACTCGAGATTTAAACTTGTTTTTATAGCTACGTAGGCAAATGTCTCTACCCCACCTGATGTTAAGTTGTGTTCAAATCCATTTTTGATCACTCATCCTATGACAGGCCATTACGAAAGTTGTTAGCTGCCACTGAAGCTAAGATAGAAATGAAATGAAATTAAAATATATTCAAATTGAAAGCTCTTTTGGTACAACATTTAATGATAAAACTCTTTAAATTAATGGTTGGTAGTAATTAGGCCCACATGTTCAGCGACTTCTATATGTGGGTCGTATTTTTGTTTCGACAACAAACTTTCGAGTGCGTCATATTTTGTTGGAATCTAACGAATTGTATAAATGATTGCTACTGACATATTGAGTGAGTGTCTTTTAAAGGTGTGGGAGACGGGGTTAAATAAACTTGCTTTCTGGAATTTTGTTTCGCAAACTTAAATAGTTACTTGACGAGACACTCGCTCTGGGACGCTCTATAAATGTGGGGGGTGAAAGTTTGTATGAGAAACCAATTTTTCCACGCAGACGAAGGTACAGGCCTTCCTTACAGTATCCTTGTCCAGTACCTTTATCTTGGCAGAGTTGGCATTAAGTAACAGTCTGATGAAAATGACGCATTGCATGCCGACTGTACCGTTTCACTAATAGTAAAAGCCTATCAGCGAAGAGAACTACAGTGCTATTCTTAAAACTCACTCTTCACCTCGGAATCCGTAGTGTGATATAAAACTAGAACACGAATTTCAAATAACTTTTAAATAACACCAGCGGATTCCGAGGTGAAAAGTGACTTTGTTTTTAGAGAAGCATTTTAAATTAATCCACAGGAAAAGTGAGTTTGTTCTTACAGAACAGCACTGCAGCACCAAAAAGTATTGTAACTGGCTGGATGGACTTCCTGTCATTTCTTATTTCTTACAGCTAAATAAATATTGTTATCTTTTAAGTTTTACGAACAAGCATACTAGACCGCTGTGCCCTACCTTTGTGAGAGTTACAACATAATGATTCTTGTCAATTGAATTTTAAGGGATTTACGTGCTGTATCATCATCATTATCATATTAAAGAGAGGTAGGGCAAGGCGCATTGTCCGCTTGAATTGGAGCGCCCGTCTGGGGAAGTAACCTCCACTTTACACAGAAGATGAGACAGTGAAATAACACTACCTTTTGGTGATTTTGTGTTCCTGTCGGTAAGTATGGTTCCAGGGCTTCACGGGGTCGGGGTCCCCGCGATTCCCCGGGAGACCCCTGCTGTGGAGCCCCGGCTAGTCCGGAAGGCTGCTAGGTACCTGCGGGAACACGGAAGAATCCCTAAACGGGGATCCCGTGGCTTCGCACTAAGCAGCATAGAGGGTATTCGCAGGGTTTTTAGCGAATATTATGCTGTAAAGCACCCGTAAGAGTTACGGTTCCTCAGTGGGCAGTCACTGCGGGGGCCCGTAAAGCTTGCGGGAGCCAGGTGTGAGGTCCGTTCGGCGGTGCGCCTCTTAAAGGTGCCGTCGTCTGTAGACAGAGGTTTTGCCTGCGTTAACAAAAAAAGGACTTCACGGTGTAGGGGATTTGGCCAGGGCATAGGTCATATGTTTTAGGTATCACAAGCGTTTATGTGCTATGTTGGCCGCTTACCATTAGGTGGGCCAGTTACTTGTTTGACATCCCTTTAGCATAAAAAGGACCCAAACGGAAATCAGAAGCATTTATCCAAGATATCGCTTTAGGAAGAAATTTATACTGAAATATAGTGTTGTATGTTACCGAATCTTATTGATGCTCTGCAAACCCTGAAAATTGTATTATAATTTATTATGTATGTAAAATGGACGGATAGAGTATGCGGTAAAAGGAGTAATTGATTACGTTGATTTGTCGCCTGATTGATAAATTTATATTCCCGCTGTATTTTTCCATTGCATTGGCATTTTTTTTTTCCACGTATTATCTTATTAACAGTATTGTCATTGCTCGGAATTATTTTATTTTTTATGTTTGATAACATCAAGTGTTCCTAAGAGAAATGCAGTTTTAACGTTACAATTTAAGTGACGTTTACGCCACCTGTGCCCTGAGCGGGAGAGTCAAGGACGCATTTTTATGTTAAAAAAATATCCAGTACGGTATTGTTTCAAATCTTTAAGAGAAACATTAAAATGTTTGTCCTAACTTAAATGTTTTATCCATTTAATCGATAATTAAAGGTTAACCTCTACATATGTAATTACAAGGAACATGGTTTTCCTCGTAGTTACACTGCTGTAACGACTGCTGTTACCACTAGGAACGAGTTGTAATATTATTATGAATAGCTTTTACATAACTTTTTTATGTACTTATACATATTTTTTGGTAATGATAAGTTACCCATCGATCTTACTTAATTATCATTACTTCGATATCTTACTGATCTACAGACCTTTTATGATTATGTGATTATGACATTGATTTAAAAATATAACCTTATATAAGTTAAAATAATCGTTTACAAGTGTACAAGTGATTATTTGTTTGACTGAATAATTAGGTTGAGGGAAAAGTTTCTTTGCATTTTATTTTGAAAATTCAAAACATTTTTTAATAAAGTTAATTTACATTTAACTAAAATGTGTAGGTGCCATTTTATTCGAAATGCCACTTTTTGCCGTCTTTTCGTAGGGACATGATCCCATTGCTTTAGAAATGTTGGGTCTTCTAATCAAAAAACCACGACAAGTGGTTTTGGCAGTCCTATCGTGATGTTAACCTGACACTGCCTAAAGAATTCTGAAAAGACCGAAACAGGTGGAAATCTTAAAGTGCATGGTGAGAACTATACGTCTAACACCTCCCTCAATTTTTGCCGAATGGCTAAAGATGTGTGAAGTCTAGCGTTATTATGATGGAAAACCACAGCTCTTCTGTTAATCAATTCCGGCCTCTTTTTCTAAACTTCTTGCTTTAATCCGATCATTCGTTCGCAGTAGAGTTCAGAATCGATGGTCCTGCCTGGCAGTAACAGCTCATAATAAATAATGACTTTCCAGTCCCACCATATACACAGCATCACCTTATTGCGAGTTAACTCGGGTTTCGCCAGAGTCTGTGAAGCCTGACCAACCATTGACCACGACCTGTTTCCACGTTCTTGTCGCACTTGATCCACTTTTCATGACCAGTTATCAGCTTCTTCAAATATGGTTCGGTTTCATTACGTCGCAATAAAAATCACAAATAAATACACGGTTCATTAGGTTTCTTGCAGTGAGGAGGTACCCAAATATCGTTTTTTTTTGTGTACCCAGGTTTTTTCAAATGTGCCAGAACTGTTTTGTGCTCAATTCCCAGTTCTTCAGCTACGTCGTAACTACTGATATGCCGTTCTTGCTCACTTTTTCAATGGCATCCATTTTATCCGTAACAAGGCGAACAGAGCGACGTACATCTTTGACATCATAATTTCCCGAAAGAAAACGCTTAAACCAAATTTGTGCTATTCTCGCAGACACTGCACTAGGTCCATAAACAAATATTTTTTTTTTTATTTGCTGCGTTGCATTTTTACCTTTTATTTGTAAATTTTTAAAATGTATTGAATTTCTTCATGAGGTTCCTCATCTTGACAGTATGAAAAACAAATGAAAATCCGATATTTTAATTTGAATTTGGAATTATCTTCTTTAAAAAATTTAATGATACCAAAACCAGCCAGATACAAATGGTATAACCAAAGAGATTTTATTACAAGTTCAGACATACTATAAGGCGGAAATACTTTTTCCCCAACTTGTTATATTATCTGCAAATTTAATTTTGAATACATTAAGATTGTATATTTTTAAACAACATACCTTCTAACGCCATCTATCATACTCGTAGGTAACCGCACTCTCGCAATGTTCAGAAGCAAACTGCCTGTGTTGGTAAGGTTAGTAATTACTGTGTAGCTGAAAGTTACAAATCCTCTCACATTTTTCATACTATTTCAAGGCACAAACATGGCACCACTGATTTCACTATGTATTGCAGTTTAGTGTATCACTCGCCCCATCGTCAGCAATTATTGAGTAAATTAGAATTTTTTATTCAGAAGATATTTGATACAATGTTTTATACAATAGGTCGAATCAAATCACATAGTAATATCACATAAATCACATAATCATTTTATCCTTATGTTTTCCTATTTTTAGAAAAAAAGTAAAAGTTGTTTTCCTCAAATAAATGATGATAGTTCTCTGACTAAAAACCCCAAATTACAATTATTGATAATTGTTATCCACAATCAAAAACAATTACTAGAATTGGCTAAAGCACATAAGTTATTTTTAATATAGGAACGATTAATTGATTCCACTAACATGTAACAGCGATAATTTAATGTCAACAGCCGTCTGAGTGTATACAAAACAATCTCTTACTTAGGTTTTCACCCTTTGACTTTATGATAAATGGCAATATTTATGATGATAATGATGCACACTAATAACATTATACGTATAAAATTGATAGAGCAAATTTTTTCTGTTTACTTCGAATAAGTAATTGCAGTCGATCAGTGACATTTTAGAGAAGTGAGCAAAATGTTTCGTTTGTTCTTCTGTTTGGTGATATTTGTTACTGTGAGTGATTGTTTAATTATTTTATTTAAATTTTTGCTAATTTAAAATTTACGATGTTCTGATTTTCATTATCTGTTTTATTCTGATACCGCACCGGTTCATAGCAGACCCGCACTGCCGTACTTACTTAACAGTGTTTGTGATTCTCTTTGAGGTTTTTTCTTTTGCTTTTATTATTTATTCATTAGGTAATAAAATCATGGAATTACAATTTTTCATCGTCTAGTGTGTATTAGCTTAGTAAACTGTAGAACCACAGATATTAACATTTTAGAAAACAACTATAACTATTACAATACTTTCTGTATAAGTACCCAATATAAGATATTTAAGTTGTCTGTAATGGATTTGTTTACAATATTTTTAAGACCAAAATATGGCAATCAAATATATAGACTACTAGACAAGACGTTTGCGGAACCAGAGCATCACTTACGTTGTTTATTCTGGCGTAACTCGCTACCCCGTGTCGCCTTTTTTTGATGTTTGGAAAAGGCCTTCGTGGACTCCGAGGAGTAGCACGAACAAGTTATCTGAAGACTCCTCTTCACCAAGTACAATCTAGGCAATGCTCCTGCACAGATAAGCCGGCATGCTTTCTGAGGTCCGCAGTCCCTGTCAAGGTGCTGTCCGACGATCTGTGTTGTCTCCAGCGAGGCCGCGGCGCCGCGCAGGGTTGCCAAACGTATGAGAACTCTAACGTTCGAGATTTAGTAGTATCCATACATGATACGAGGTGATGATAATAATATATAATAAGGTACCTGACAATATTAAGCAACTACCCTACAACAGCTTCAGAATAGTATTGAAAAATTGGCAATTGGTGAATAGTTTTATTCTGAAGAGGAATTTTAAAAAATAAGTCCTGAATATTGAAATGGATGTCGATTTTGGGTTAATTTTATTTTGAATATACAGGGTGGAAATTTTGAATGCCACCCCCAGGGGAAGTACTCTAAGTACTGGAGATAGATAATTTTACTTAAAGGAAACATTCCTTTATTTTTAAAAAGAAACACAACTGCTTTCACAGTTTTTCGAAAATTTGCTTGCCACACCCGGGAATCGAACTAGCGAAAATTCGAAAAAATTACACACTGTATTTTTATGGCATCGATCGATAGGGTCAATCATAGGGATCATATCAAACTTAGAACATTAAATGGAAGGAAAAGCGTGAAATCTTAACTTAACTGATTGGAGCAAGACTAAAAGCAGTTTTATCTCACCTGATTACACGAGCTAGTATTTTCATTATCTTCGACGTCATTTATTTATTCAAATAACGAATAAAGAATTTTTTGTCTAAAATGCAGACTAAAGAGTCCAGTAAGGTACCAGTCTCAGGAGGGGCGCCGTACAACCCCTTTGGTACCAGTAATTTAAATGAGGTATGCAATTTTTTCGAATTTTTGCCAGTTCGATTCCCGGATGTGGAAAGCAAATTTTCGAAAAAGATTCATCCTTTTTCGTGTGTTTCTTTAGTTGTGTTTCTTTTTAAAAATAAAGGAATGTTTCCTCTGAGTAAAATTATCTATCTCCAGTATTTATAGTACTTCTCCTGGGGGTGGCATTCAAAATTTCCACCCTGTATATCATATATAATATATTGACATGAATATTACTTTTCAATTGACATGAGGAATCGTAATTAATTTTGACATTTAATTGAATAATAATCTTAAATTATCATACTGATTTTTTTTATTATAGGTACATCACACTAAATTGATATAAAATATTTTATTTTATTTTGAACTGACATTGGAAATTGTAATTAATATTGAGATAAATTTTTAAGATTTTATTTATTTTTTAAGCATTTAATTGCTAGATGTTTAAATCTAAAGAAAAGTTTACTAGAAAAAAATCCACGCGGACTAGGCAGCGGACGGGACTCGAACCCGCATCCTTCGCTATCCGGGCGAATGCACTGACCATTATGCTACCACGGCCCTATTAGCCGCGTCGAAATTTTCCTAGCCTTAAGCTGCAAGGCAGCGCCATCTCTTCGCATTGTAGGTAACCCACAATGTCAAATGAATACTTTTTCAAGTATTAAACATTTGAAAGAAGAAATAGCAATTATAGTTATGATTTTATTTATTTTTTAAGCATTTAATTGCTAGATGTTTAAATCTAAAGAAAAGTTTACTAGAAAAAAATCCACGCGGACTAGGCAGCGGACGGGACTCGAACCCGCATCCTTCGCTATCCGGGCGAATGCACTGACCATTATGCTACCACGGCCCTATAAGCCGCGTCGAAATTTTCCTAGCCTTAAGCTGCAAGGCAGCGCCATCTCTTCGCATTGTAGGTAACCCACAATGTCAAATGAATACTTTTTCAAGTATTAAACATTTGAAAGAAGAAATAGCAATTATAGTTATGATTTTATTTATTTTTTAAGCATTTAATTGCTAGATGTTTAAATCTAAAGAAAAGTTTACTAGAAAAAAAATCCACGCGGACTAGGCAGCGGACGGGACTCGAACCCGCATCCTTCGCTATCCGGGCGAATGCACTGACCATTATGCTACCACGGCCCTATTAGCCGCGTCGAAATTTTCCTAGCCTTAAGCTGCAAGGCAGCGCCATCTCTTCGCATTGTAGGTAACCCACAATGTCAAATGAATACTTTTTCAAGTATTAAACATTTGAAAGAAGAAATAGCAATTATAGTTATGATTTTATTTATTTTTTAAGCATTTAATTGCTAGATGTTTAAATCTAAAGAAAAGTTTACTAGAAAAAAATCCACGCGGACTAGGCAGCGGACGGGACTCGAACCCGCATCCTTCGCTATCCGGGCGAATGCACTGACCATTATGCTACCACAGCCCTATTAGCCGCGTCGAAATTTTCCTAGCCTTAAGCTGCAAGCTTAAAAAATAAATAAAATCATAACTATAATTGCTATTTCTTCTTTCAAATGTTTAATACTTGAAAAAGTATTCATTTGACATTGTGGGTTACCTACAATGCGAAGAGATGGCGCTGCCTTGCAGCTTAAGGCTAGGAAAATTTCGACGCGGCTAATAGGGCCGTGGTAGCATAATGGTCAGTGCATTCGCCCGGATAGCGAAGGATGCGGGTTCGAGTCCCGTCCGCTGCCTAGTCCGCGTGGATTTTTTTCTAGTAAACTTTTCTTTAGATTTAAACATCTAGCAATTAAATGCTTAAAAAATAAATAAAATCATAACTATAATTGCTATTTCTTCTTTCAAATGTTTAATACTTGAAAAAGTATTCATTTGACATTGTGGGTTACCTACAATGCGAAGAGATGGCGCTGCCTTGCAGCTTAAGGCTAGGAAAATTTCGACGCGGCTAATAGGGCCGTGGTAGCATAATGGTCAGTGCATTCGCCCGGATAGCGAAGGATGCGGGTTCGAGTCCCGTCCGCTGCCTAGTCCGCGTGGATTTTTTTTCTAGTAAACTTTTCTTTAGATTTAAACATCTAGCAATTAAATGCTTAAAAAATAAATAAAATCATAACTATAATTGCTATTTCTTCTTTCAAATGTTTAATACTTGAAAAAGTATTCATTTGACATTGTGGGTTACCTACAATGCGAAGAGATGGCGCTGCCTTGCAGCTTAAGGCTAGGAAAATTTCGACGCGGCTAATAGGGCCGTGGTAGCATAATGGTCAGTGCATTCGCCCGGATAGCGAAGGATGCGGGTTCGAGTCCCGTCCGCTGCCTAGTCCGCGTGGATTTTTTTCTAGTAAACTTTTCTTTAGATTTAAACATCTAGCAATTAAATGCTTAAAAAATAAATAAAATCATAACTATAATTGCTATTTCTTCTTTCAAATGTTTAATACTTGAAAAAGTATTCATTTGACATTGTGGGTTACCTACAATGCGAAGAGATGGCGCTGCCTTGCAGCTTAAGGCTAGGAAAATTTCGACGCGGCTAATAGGGCCGTGGTAGCATAATGGTCAGTGCATTCGCCCGGATAGCGAAGGATGCGGGTTCGAGTCCCGTCCGCTGCCTAGTCCGCGTGGATTTTTTTCTAGTAAACTTTTCTTTAGATTTAAACATCTAGCAATTAAATGCTTAAAAAATAAATAAAATCATAACTATAATTGCTATTTCTTCTTTCAAATGTTTAATACTTGAAAAAGTATTCATTTGACATTGTGGGTTACCTACAATGCGAAGAGATGGCGCTGCCTTGCAGCTTAAGGCTAGGAAAATTTCGACGCGGCTAATAGGGCCGTGGTAGCATAATGGTCAGTGCATTCGCCCGGATAGCGAAGGATGCGGGTTCGAGTCCCGTCCGCTGCCTAGTCCGCGTGGATTTTTTTCTAGTAAACTTTTCTTTAGATATAAATTTTTAATTTAAATTATAATAATAAAATACTTGTTATTAAATGAATGATAGGTAAATGTAATGTGTGGTATGTTTTAATATGTTAGAATTTTTTGCATGCTATTAATATGGTTTAGCATTCTTAGCTTATATGTGATTTATATGGAAACACATTTTGTGAACTCTATTTAATGAAAATAAAGAGTATTCTATTCTAAGGATGCATTTAGTGATGACATAATAAATCTGTACTTACTGAGACGATCTTTTATAGACTGGACATTTATTTACTCTCTGATAATATTTTTGGTTTGTGTACATGACACAAACAGTCAACATTGTTCAAATCTCATATCAAAGTGTACGAGATTTCTATTTATTTCGTATCTTGCATAGATACTGCTAAATCTCGAACATTACAGTTCTCATACGTTTGGCAACCGTGCGCGGCGCATCCTCACCCGCGGTAACACAGATAGTCGGACAACACCTTTATGCGTGTCGGGAGTGTGGGCGATATTACGGCACCCGATTTAGAACTGGGCGCAAGCTGATTGTCCGTTTCCGGACTACCCTCCGATGTACTAGAAAAACACCCATCACAGGAACCGTGCAATGAAAGCTAATGCTCGCACACTAGCCGGCTGGCTACCGGAACCCCGTGGAAACCTTACCTACGCATGAACCAACCTACAGAGAGAAACAAAAGTTTGTGGTACTACAGTAGCAATTCTAAATAAAATCACATCACCAGACAAGCGCTCCAATTCTAGAGAAAAATCCCTACCGCTTTTATTCCTGATAGATTTATTGAATCTAGTTATACCATAAAATATTATATTAAAAACAAACTTTTGACATACAGACAAGTTATGGTGACCTTCTAACACAAGAAAGGAGCAGAGGAGCAACCTTGGTTTGTGTTTATTTTTTGTTTTTATTAGAGAATGGGATCCGTTTAGTATGAAACTAAATATTTTTAAAATACTTATAGGTGCACAATGTCCTTTCGAGTTAAGCGTACTTAAACCCAACCCAAAGGAGTATAATAAGATTTCTTTCTTGATAACAAAAAAACAATTATCCCTACAGTGGAAAAGTATAATATGTTTATTTGATATTAAAGAGCCTACGAGGTGTCTTAAATGACAGGTCTAATATACAAACTTGCTACAACAACACGATTAACTATGGAGATAGATAACCACCACGGTTTCCTTCATGTATCAGCATTCTTAAAGCTGTTTATGGAAAACTTTCAAGCGAAACACACATTTTTTTATAATCTTTAATTAAAGCCACTTCAACTATAATTATCAACAGCTAAAATTATAAAATATAATGATTAATATCTAGCAGTTATATGCTTATGAAAGGACATTGTTCTGCGTCCATACATTGTTAGCCTAAGAACCAACAATCATGAAATATTATTTTCTAGGTTCGAAATTGCAAGTAAATGACTATAAAAACAAAGATTATTGACGGACACTTCTGAGAACTTAAATTATCAGGAAAACTTAATATTTTTTGAGGTTATGTTTACTATTAAAAGAAACATAGGTCAATCTATGAACTTAGTATGAACTCAGTATGAATTGAATTAATATTACAACTAATTCATTTTTATTCGATGCGATTTTAAAGAATAACTATTAGGAAAAACTTGGTAAGATAGGAATCATGAATAAAATAAAAACTGTAGTTTTGCTTCTTGTTTTTTGCCTATTTTTCACATAATTGTATCATATTGTATTTTATTTGTATATCACATGTATATTATATAAATACTAGCAAACCAGTGAACCAAATTTTCACCAAAACCTGATTTCTCGAAAACCGGAAGTGCTACGTTACTCAAATCCGGTTTGTAGTCTTATCAGACTATTCTTAACTTATAACTTAAATATTCTCTTTATCTATCTCTTACGGTTTGGCCGCTGAAACAGCACCACAGACAGACGGACTTGTCTAATAGATAAGAGATGCAGCGTGAATGTGTATCAGCTGCTCTTGAATAATTTCCTCTCAGGAGGTTGTGGCACAGGTTTTCTAGCACTTGCTAAGAAAGAGTCTGCTATTTGGTAACATCGATGGCATATTAGAAAGCCGAAATAGTTAAATTAAAGGAAAAACAATCGCAAATAAACACACACAACAGGAAATCCGAAACGAGAATCCACGAATGCCACAGATTACTACGAATGCAAACTGCCTGCACCACAACCACAGAGCATCGATTTTTATGCCGGCCCTTCACTTGACAACAGTCTGTCATTGGTAGTTTTCCAATTACAGCACTACAGCGCATTATGCGGCATAATGCCTATCGTTGAATGTTTCAACTACAGCAACGCTTCGCACAATCGAGTACTCTCAAAAGTAATGTTTTCGTGTGATGCGTGCAATCGTACCAACACAGTGACAGAAAATTAACAAATGTTTTTTTCTTTAAGTTGGCATTGATCGAAATGTTTTATTTATTTAATATCGTTAGTAATATTATTTATTGTTGAAATTTTTTGAAAGTTCTCGTTTCATTGTAGTTTTTTTAAATAATCATAGTTTATTTAAACTTTGTTAAAAATAAATATAAGTATGGATGAAGGTACAAACATTGACTTTTTTTTTCAACACTGAACTTAGCGCACTCTGCTGGTGCATTTGAACTAATTCACGTTCCAATTAAGCATCAGCATAATTCGGCATTGTGCGCCACTGAGTCGCATTATGCTCTGTAATTGGAAAACTATCCTTGTCATGCTTAATATAGAATAAAAAGGACAGACTGATGTCAAGTTTTCAAAAAGTAAACACGAATAGCCAAGTGAAGTGCCGGCATTAGGAAGAAAGTGTTTTGTTGCAGCGCTGCCATAGATTATACACATAAAATGGTAGTCTCAGATTATTTTTTAACTTTTTAATATAGCTTACTTAACTGGAACTGTCCGTCACAATCTAAATACTGATAATTATCGCAAAAAATATACTAAGAATTATTATCAATGCCAAATTGGTGTTGGTTCTTAGGCCAAATTTAACATTGTCATTTAAATATTACTATGATGATACTTTAATGGCAGTAATAATATTTTAGAGGCTCTAGGTTCGATTCCTAGGCAGCCATTTTAAAACGTTATAGACAAATTATTATGTTTCGTCTCATCCGAGACGAACCATCCGGTTGCCATAGTTTTTGAATTATATTAAACAAACACTGTAGCAAATAATTTTCAGATCAATTTCATTAGAGCAACTGATGATTTAAATATTTATTTATTTTTTAGAAACCAATTTCTGCGTGCTGCGACATACCGGAGTTGGGCGATTCCAAACCGCTCACTGAATGTTCCAAACCAAAGTTGCTTGGGCCTGTAAGTACTAACTAACTTAAAGCTCATTCAATTAAAAAAAAAAACTAAAAACTTACTTTTGAATCAAAACCGCCATAAAGTTATTTTCTGTCATGTATCTGCCATTTGACTTTTATCTTATACCTATAGGTTTGAAAGCTTTCAAGAAGTTTTAGCTAACTAAACGAATAAAAGGTTTGGTTAGGCGTTAGGCTATTGAATTACGAATATATGTCTAGTCCTAGGAGAGATAAACTTGTGTAGTCAAACGTTGAAACTCAATATCTCAAATTTGGGGACTTCACGTCTCAATTCGAACCCTTTTTATTTTCGCGCAATTTCCCGTAACCTTTGATTTGTGATGAAACTATTTAAACATGCAAGAAATGTTTCAACCAACTTTTATGAATTTTGCTTTAGTTGCATACACTGTAAAATATGAAAAATAATATTTTTGACACTTTATTATAAAGTTTATGGTCGTCTAAAACACAATTTTAAAATCCAAAGTAAATTTTACTAGATAATATTCCAGTCGGTTTAGGTTTCAGACTGGATTTGAACCAGCATCCGGGCGGAAAATGAGTACTAGTAAAATATTTTTACATTTGTAAAATCTATGATTTTATGATTTATTTTTAACACACCAATTAGCCTAGCCCCAAAGTAAGCACTATAATGTTTGTATTATAGGATACTAGAGTTACGGATAGAATACACATACAGTACATATATAATATATATGTATAGTATATTTATTTAGAAATATATATATATTAAATATCCCTGACTGGAGTACAAATGCTCGTATTCATCACACAAACATCTGCCCCACTGGGACCTCGACAGTCGACACCTTGAAACCCGGTGCACAAACCACTCGGCCACAGAGGTCGTCAAATCATTTAAAAAATCTAGCAGTATAAGTAATAACCTAAAACACTCTGACTTATTTCAGGGTTTTCCTACAACCATTCTATAAACTTTGGATAAACCAGTCATTCCGCGATAAGGTTTCAATTGGCCTGTGACTCATACAGTTATTTACAAACAATATTCTTCCGTGTATGTGCCGACCTAGAATAGCATTATCCCATCTAGTCCCATGGGTGTCGTAGAAGGCGACTACGGTAACACAGCCAGCAGAAGACGGGCAGCAGCGTCCTCTCCTTCAATTCCATGGCCATGATTATGATAAATATTCTTCCAGTGTAACGACATCCAATGCGTGTTCGAGAAGTCTGGGTTCCTCGTCGACAGGAATACACTTAACAAGGACGTTTACAAAAAGCACCTGCGGAAGTGGGCCGAGGCTCACGATAGCTGGACCGAGGCGGTGGAACGCGCCATAGCAGACTGTGTCGACAAGGAGCTTAGACAGTACCTGGACTATCCCTGCAGGGCTTACGACGTTTTCACTTGCACTGGAATAGCCATGCTGAAGGTGGGTTGCGTTGATTTTTTATAATATTCTTTCGTCTGTAAAATCAACACATCGACTGCAATTGCTTTTAATACAACAATTGAAATCGAAAGATCGTGTTTAAATACCTACCTAATTTTGCGTGATATACTTATATATACCTCTTAAGCATTTATAAAAACACAATGTTTTGGGTTTCTGCGTACAGAATTAGTAGGTTAGGTTCAATGATGTTTTCTAGTTATAGAAACGTCATACATGCAGCTAATTTGGTAATACGAAAGTCAGGTAATTGCCCGATTTCCATTCAGTCGGGCACGTCGCGACTACACTTCGCCACAACATGTAAATATTTTACATTTTTCCAGACAAAGAGCCCTATGTGTGTTTAAGATAACACACAAAATACACGGGAACTTTTAGAGACAAGAAAAACGTGTCATGTCGTTTATAAGTACGGTTTTAAAGAAATTAATTTAAAAATATTTAGAGATTGTTACTTATTTCGACAGTCGCTGTCACCGTTGACACGTGGAGGCTAAAAAAGATGTAATCTGCTTTATGCATGAGAGTAAAAGAGACTACTTTAGTGCGCTTTATTTGCGGCTGTTGCTAAGGAAGTTGGGGCGGGGACTACATGTGCCATTTTAAAATGCAATAATGTTGGCGTATAATCTGTCTATATACATATTTTACATCATTGGTTAGGTTAACCCTAGAGAACTCAAGCTATGAGCATTTTGCCGATATTCGTATTATTTTTACACAATGCATTTGTCCAAGTCAATCCTCCTAGTAGCTGGCCCCCCGTTCCTTACCTCCTTTTTTTAGAAATTAAAGTAAATTCAATGCGTAGGTCACCGCAGGAAAGAAAGTTTTTCATAAGTGTGTCGCGTTTGACGGCAAATTGCTCACTGCGCGACTGCTCACGTAAGTAAAATCCGTGGGTCTGGTTTTTCAACATGTGTCAGGATCGTTTTGCTGAAATACAGGTTTTAGTTGATAAAACAAGGTGTAATTTAGCTATTATTTATAGTTTTCGGTATTATTTTTGTACAATAATTGTAGTTTGCAAAAAAATAAACATTTTACCTATGATATCATAAAGATATATTTTCCATTTTTTATTATAAAACGTTAATAAATGTTTCTTATTCTGATGAATTATGCTCTTTTCTATAATTTGAACATAATAAAAAAATCATACAACTCCTATTTTCTAAAAAAAAAGCGGTATTAAGTATGGGGTATATGCTCATCACTCGTGTTTAACGGAAAGGCACGATTACTCTAGGGTTAAGGATGTAAATGAATATAAATAAAAATATCGATTTGAATAAAGGGTTTTGACAGACATGGGAAAATCTGCCTTCACATTATATGTAACCGGTTCTCTAGCTTTAAAACGAGTGGTACTAAAGTTTTCGTTGCTAAACATACTGATTTTTTTTCCTTTCAGAAATGTCCGCAGGAAGCATGGAAGTGCTAAGTGGTGAGATGACATGACATAAAGTATTTAATCTTCATAATTGTTCGTCATACATGTATTTCAAAATTATTATTAATTTAAATAAGTCATTGGTATATTAAGGTATAATTACTTATTTTGATAAAAATGTGCAATAAAAAAATAACCTCTTTACCTGTTTTGTCAACTTGTTTTTTTTTTATTATGTCTACGTTGTCTATTGCTGCCTTCAGCGGGACATCAACGAAACGAGATTATTTCTGTATGAGATAAGATAAAAATGACGTGACGGGCTTGCAGTTCGACAAGCGGATATAAAAAATGTATGTATCGCTACTTCGGCGCCATCATCTCTTTCTCGTTGACGTCCCGGTGACGGCAGCGGCAGACCCAACCGACATACGAGTAATTAACATATTTTTTAGATATTTCCGTTTTAATACTAGAGTTCAGACTGAGAACTTTAGCTTCGCTTAAATATACTAAGTCAAGTAGTAGGTACCTTTTTAGTGTTTCGCATTACACACAGTGCAGGCAGGGTAGCCTTTGTTTTACAGTTTTACTACTTACGTCGAAGAATTTATCAGCTGAAGTTCATCATAGAAGGTGGATTTCAACAAAATTTTAATAAAAAAACGCCGCGTTGCACTCCGGGTGTGCCGGCAGAAGTAAAAACTTGAATATTAATGTGTTTTATTTTGATATTTTGGAATGGTTAGGGAATAACTTTGCACGAATTGCTTAAATTGTCAGTATAAAAGTACTATCAATTATGTGGTAGAATACAATATTTATTTATTGCGCTATCGTACACAAACATGGCAATTTATATTACATTAAAAAGTTTCTCTCTCAGAAAAATCAACTTACATGAATCACATTTAAGCGCACCTAGCGACATCTAATGTAAAAAAATGATTTTTCTTCGCAATAAAGCTGCCACCTGGTCGTCCTAGTTAGAGACTTATTAATATAATACGATAAAATAAAATATTATTATGTTTCGTCCAATATATTGAAAGTCAACAACCTTCCAATTTTATTGTTTTCGTCTTACGAATTTTCGATCAGGTCACGTGTCCTGACTTAAGTTTGACATATTTTACCCATTACAAAAAAAGTGTACAACGCCGCTAAAGAAGTTTTCACTTCTAAATAAAATTAGCAATAGATCCATTAGATTGAGTTTTAAATACATTCATGACACTTATCACGAACCAGTAGTGTATTCAACTTATTTTAGAGCTTTCTATGATTTAAATAAAATCCAATGCCTATTACTTAGTAAAAAAAATCAAAATCACTAACATTACTTACCACAAAAGGATTATGAGTCCTGCTGTCCAATTTACCACACTAGATACATATAGGTATAATTAAAATCTACAGGAACGGAAGCTATCTCCTTTGCACACCTAATAAATTTTTCATTAAGACATAAATATCCATTCCCAAGTGACACTTCGTCCCATAGTTCATTGTACGGTAATTACCGACTGCGTTGTCCAAGGCCTGGGCCTCTTGACACTGATTCGTGGACCGTGCCGCCTGCATACTAGACCTTGAGGACATCCGACCCATTGTGAGTAATGCGAAATTAATTATGCGCCGCTATACCAAATTGATTGGATAGCCATGCTGTTAATAACATCGATTAATTTGACGTTATAGAAATGGATTGATTGAAATGTGCATGTGAATTTGTATTGGTGATAAGCGATGTCTATATATTAAAACTCAAAGGTGACTGACTGACATAGTGATCTATCAACGTACAGCCCAAACCACTGGATGGATCGGGCTGAAATTTGGCATGCAGGTAGATGTTATGACGTAGGCATCCACTAAGAAAGGATTTTGATCAATTCTACCCCCTAGGGGATAAAATAGGGAATGAAAGTTTGTATGAAAGTTTGTCAATTTTAAACCGATCGGGTTGAGACTTTGCATGCAGGTATAAGAAGAATCATAGATGAATGTCATTGTGTTATGATACAAGCCTGAGAACAAATACTGTAGTCTACACTTCAGCTCTACACCGAAGCGAAGCGAGGGCGGGCCACTAGTTTAATAATAAATCTTTATTCACTATTAATTTATACATATAAGTAACTTAGATAAAAGAAAAAACATAAAAGGTACAGAGAAATACATAGCCTGAACTAGGAATATCTTGTGTTATAGGCAAAAAGCTACCTTTGCTAATTATGTATTTGACTTTCTGTTTTGAACTATATGATGCAATAAAGAGTATAATAAAAAGATCTTTTTTGTCATGCGCTGGATAATATTAGCGGACGCCCTAACTTTAGTTTTTTGAATATCCCTCAGGAACCTCACAGTGTTTCGGAATAAAAGATATAAATATAAATAAATATTTTCAACACTCCCACCAATTAGCCTAGCCCCAAAGTAAGCGCTGTAAGACTTGTATTATGGGATACTAGGGTAACGGATAGAATACTTATACTGTACGTATATAAGTATATTTATATAGAAATACATATTAAACATCCATGACTGGAGTACAAATGCTCGTATTCATCACACAAACATCTGCCTGCCCCCACCGGGATTCGACCTCGGGACCTCTAGTCGGCGACAACAAGAAACCCGACGTACAAACCACTCGGCGGTGGTCGTTAAGAATCCTAAGTCTCAATACAGACAAACTTTATTGCTACTTACCAAATTTTATCTAAATCTGATGAGTAATTAAGTAATAAACATTCTAACTTTCATATTAAATATTAGTAGGATTATCCAACGCATGACAAACATCCCTCCACCAGTTCACTCAGCAACAGATAATAATTCAAGCAAAAACTATCGAATTTATTAGACCCACTTTAAATTGGGCTGACTGGGTTGCGAGATGAGCAGCTAGGTGGGCAATCACTGACTGTGGACTCGGTTTAAAGTTTTGTTTAAAAGTTTGGAATCGAAATCGGGGCATCGGGCCATGACCCACCACGCAGCCCCAGTACGGATTGGTGGTGGAATCCGCTTGCGTGCGCTGCTCTATTCCCCTATGCCTTATGCACCGCCTAATGTTAGGTTAGGTTAGGTTATCCATGAAAAAAGATTCAGTTCAGATGTGTATTCCGTGTACACATTTTTATTTATGGAATCGGGCTATATTACAATGGATATGGAAGGTCACTGGCCCCATTCCGCTTTGGACTCAATCCTTACTGGGCCCAATCCACACTGGACCCAGTGAGGTTTGGGCGCAGATATAGCTCTTGAAAAGCTTGATGGCACAGTGTTAAGCACTTTCAGTCGACGATCGTGGAAGTCAAGCTACTTTCGCAATGACCGATCTTAGGATGGGTTTCCAAACATTTACTCACTCAAGCTCCTTCGTGCCTCGGAAGGCACTTTGAGCAGTTCGTCCCTTCTGCATCAACTGCGGATAGCACCCACCAATCCTAACTAGTAAATTCCTCATACTCTATCATGAACAAAACATTTGAATAATATCTCGCTGTTATATCTTATGATTGTATTATTATTTAGTATCAATTAACGTATCTCGTATACACGCTTTATT